GCCCACCGCTCAGCTAGTCCAGCCTGAGTCCCCAGCCCCAGCCCATCGCCCACCGCTCAGCTAGTCCAGCCTGAGTCCCCACCCTCAGCCCATCGCCCACCGCTCACCGAGTCCAGCCTGAGTCCCCAGCCTCAGCCCATCGCCCACTGCTCAGCTAGTCCGGCCTGAGTCCCCAGCCTCAGCCCATCTACCCTGAGCTGCTCCCTGCTCTCCCTTATCTCACATCCCTTCCCAAGCCCTTCCTTCATTTCCAGGCCTTAGAGACACTATATCCCCTTCCTGACCTAGTTCCCAGTCCAACTTTATGCTGCTGCTTGGACTACAACCCATTGCCCAGCCATGATCCAAGAATTCTAAAAGACCAATGACTCATTCTGCATTTGCTGGCGGAAGAGATACAGCATAGAACTGCCAGGAGCAAAAGTAACACTTGTAGCTACTTCATGAGCAAGGAAGCAAAGATAATTTGATGTTAATCAGGTTTGGTGGGTTGATGGAACTTTCTTGTCACCCCAGGAATCACAGGTGCACCCTTCTACTAGAGCATCTATGGAAGGCAGCCCAGTACAGTGAACATATCACCAGCTATGGGGTCAGACAGATTCCAGTTCAAATCCTGCCTCACTTACTAGCTATGTATCTTGCACAAGTTACTTAACCTCTCTGAGTCTCAGTTTCCTCGTGTTAAAACAAAGAATAATACTTATTCTGCAGGGTTATTAAGAAGAATAGAAAGAATAGAGAGACTTAGAGTTCCAGGGTGATGCAAATGTTTAACATGCTTGGCTGCTAAACAAAAGTTGGAGGTTCGAGTTCACCTAGAGTTGCCTCAGAAGAAAGACCTGGCAATCTACTTCTGAAAAATCAGCCATTGAAAACCCTATGGACAGCTCTACTCTGATACACACGGGGTCACCACGAGTCAGAGTCAACTCAACGGCAACCGATTAGTTAGTTATCATCATTATAATCACATCATGTTACAATTGGAGGTTTAGGTGACTATCTCCCTTGTTGAACAGTGGCTTCTAGAGGTTTCTTTACCCATCTTGGCTATGCCAGTACTCAGAACAGGGCTGGCCACACAGTGGCACCAAATTATGTTTGTGGAATAAAGAACTAAAAGACCAACCAAATCTCCTAAACCCAGCTTACCCTTATTTATAAAACACCAGCCCTGCGCCCTACTATGAATCTGAATTTTTCAGACTATTCACTCCACAGAACATCATGCAAGGAATCCTCTACTCAAGTATAGCCCTGGCTGGCAATCATCATGGAATTCATTAGATATTGCCACAAGATTCCAAAAATATCCTGGGAAGACATAACTAAAATGGGATTTTAAAATATTCTACCTTGACTTTTTAAAAGTATCGTGGTTAGTAGCATTAAACAAACAAAAGCCAAATGCCAAACAAAAGCCAAATACTGCAGAGGATCCGTAATCTTAGATCTGTCACCTGGGCAACTGAATTTTATCTGAGCCAAGAGGAGAATACTACAGACTTGTGAGAATTAGACAAAATGATCAGAACCATAAAATGATTAAGACTACACTGAATCTGAATTATGGGATATAGGCTCCTCAACATTCGCTCTTCTCTAGACTCAGGATTTTAGTGGGTCATTCTGTGCCTTTCATACCTCATTCAATCACCACCATTTACTAAGCGCCTACTATGTGCCAGCACAGAACCCAGCATCCCCAAGCCAAATGGTGATCGATCCCCGAGCATCCTCATCCCATTTTGCCTCATTTGGATCATGCAGTCATTTCGATTCAGGGAAAAACAGAGAGACTGAAGCCAATTGTTTTAAGTAAAAAAAAGTTAATGAGTAGAAGGCCAATTATTTTAGATTGGAAAGTTGTATGAAATGAAGCAGAAAAGGATGTCACTTGCAGCAAAACAAAAAATCAAGCACATTTTACTGAACCCTAAGTGCTGGTTCTAAGTACAAATGGGCCACAGGCTTAGCAAACTGCAGCTGCAAGGGAGGGGCCCCGAGAGCACAGAACGACTTTATAGCTGAGACTTGCATACAGTCTTTTTTGTTCTGTGCAACTCCACAGTGAAAAAAAGCAGACAGGCCAGATTTTAAAGTCCCATAATAGTGAGTAACTTTAATTAAAGTCTCCACAGGCTCACAACTTGGTGGTGCCTGGGGATTTTCCAATTCTGCATTAACAACCAGTCCAAACAGAAAGGGAGCAAGTGAGAGAAAGTGATTTAAAAACGTGACAAAAAGTCAGCTTAATATAAACATCATAAATATAATATGAACAAAGCTGGCGGAGGGCCAAGTGGCTTGGCAGGGATTCAGGAACAGCCAAGGTTGTGGGAAAGTGAAAGGAAATCTGGGTCCAATTTGCTCAGACAACACAGCTGGCCTGGGATGGTCCACAAAAGTCTAAGTGTGAGGACCTATAGGAAATTTCTTAGGGGAAAAAACAAAGAAATCTAACAAAAATAATTCAATAGACTCATTTGTTCTCCTCCCTGGATTCCAAAACCAGTTGGCACTGAGTCGACCCCGACTCATGGTGACCCCAAGTGTGTCAGAGTACAACTGTGCTCCATAGGATTTATATGGCTGATATTTTAGCAGTAAATTGCCAGGCCTTTCTTCTGAGGCACCTCTGGGTGGACTCGAACCTCCAACCTCTCAGTTACCAGCTGAGTGTGTTAACCATTTGCAACACCCAGGGACTCCAAGTAGTGTATTTTCTCCCTCACTAGGATGCCTAACACTCTGAGTCCGGAGACAGCCAGGGATTGAGGGTCCTTGTTTTGTAGCCCTGGCTCTGTGTGGGCACAGGAAGAACAGCATTCTTACCATCTAAGTCTCCTCCTCCATGACATGATGGGGCTGAGCTAGATGGCCCTGGATGCTCCTTCCTGCTCTAAAATTTCCTCATCCTAAGGGATACATAGAAATCTGTGCCAGAAAAAATCTATCTCATGAGGAAGATTTGCTGAGGTCCTAAAAGAAACTCTTGCTCAGGTATTATCAGGGGTTCTCATTGCTTCAGAGTCCCTGGGTGCTACAAATGGTTAAAGGCTCCGCTGCTAACTGAAAGGTTGGAGGTTCGAGTCCACCCAGAGGCACTTCAGAAGAAAAGCATGGCAATCTACTTCCAAAAACTCAGCCATTGAAAACCCTATGGAGCATGGTTCTACTCTGACACACATGGGGTCACCAGGAGTCAGAGCTGACACAGTGGCAACTGATACTGGCCAGTGCTTCGCCTCCAGTCCTCGAGGAGCCCCATGCGGCACAGCGGAACCAGCTCTCATTTCCAAAGCATGTGTCCACCCCGATCCCAGAACAAATTTAGCCTTGGTTTGTTCCAGAGGAGACAGCACACCTTTGTCCTAAATCGCCTCTGTATGTCATGCCGTGACAGATTCCCAATTGCAGTGGGAGGGGAAACGGGTCCCCTGAACAACACCAAGAGGCTTATGATTATGGCAGCAACTAATTCAAGCCTTGAAGAAACCAGCTACATTGACAAGGATCCAGAAATGCCTGGTCTAAAAGGAAACAGGTTGTGAGCAACAGGAATTAATAAAAATAACAAGGGCTGTATGCTTTGATGAAAAGATACAGTCCCTGTTCAGGCTGAGAGGCTCACACGACCTGCAGAGAAAGCATCCCTGTGATGACGATGTCCCGAAGAACAGGGCTGAACGCTGCGGCTGAGAAGCTGCCCCCAGCTCACCTGGAAGGCTGCATTCAGAGCTCAGGGACTTAGCACTGCTTTCGTTCACTGCAGCATTCTCACCTCAGCTTTCACCATTCATAACACTGTTGTTGTTGTTGTTACCTGCCTTTAAGTCGGCCCCCTACTCGTGGCGATCCCATGCACAACGGAACAAAACTCTGCCTGGTCCTGCACCATCCCATGACTGGTGGTGAACTGGACCATCGTGACCCATAGGGTTTTCACTGGCTGTTTTTCAGAAGTAGATTGCTAGGTCTTTCTTCCTAGATCTTCTTAGTCTGGAAGCTCCGCTGAAACCTGTTCAGCATCTTAGCAACACAAAAGCCTACAATGACAGACGGATGGTGGCTGCGCTTGAGGTGAACTGGCCGAAAATTGTACCCGTGTCTCCCACAGGGAGGGTAAGAATTCTATTGCTGGACCACCATAAATACCGAACGTAGGGCTCTGAGATTTCCAAGCATTGTCTCATTAATTCTCACAGCAACCCTGCAAGGGAGGTGCTATTATTGTCCCACATTACAAATGAGGAGATTCAAGATGGTGCCTGTGGTCACGTGGCTGTGGGCTTTCAGATTCCAAAGCCATGCTCTTGGACCCCTACACTGCACTGCCTCCATTCATGAGTGTCTGCACAGAGTGCCCACCTCTGTACTGCACTTAACCTGAGGATGATTCACTCATCATCCTGGCCTCATGCAGCTGAAATTAAATCTCTAAAGATCTGTTGGAGTCCTTGGGTGGTGCAAACGATTAACATATTCAGCTGCTAAGCAAAAGGTTGGAGGTTCCAGGCTACTCAGAGGTGCCTCAGAAGAAAGGTCTGGTGATCTGCTTCCAGAAAAATCAGACACTATCTCTGCCACTTGGGAACTCATAGTTCATGAGGGCCAGCAGAACACACCCACCAGTACCGATTTAGGGACCATTCCATTAATCCCCATCGAACTCCAGGACACAACACAGTAGGTGCTCAGTATGTGTTTAGGGGAAGAATAACGGAAAAATTAAAAAGGCAGAAGGAGAAAGGACAGGGGAGAAAGAAGGAAGAAAAATTCAAGGAATAAGCCTAGCTCACCAGATAAATAAACCAATCAGCCCTTTCTATCCACAGGAAAGGAGATGTCACAGAGGTGTTCACCTGGGCCTCTAGATAGCTCCTCTGTCACCATAGAGATGTGTTTCCTGTTATTAAATGCAAAGGGGGTATGTGCAACTTGTGCTTTTTGTTTTAAATCAGCTTATTGTTTGTGCTTTCCTCTGCGGGCCCCAGAACATGATAACATGTATACCTACAAGGTGAGATTTACAACACCTAAGAGTAACCCCAGCACGGCAAACACCCCATCCTTCCTTCACTATTGCTATCCCAAATCCCCTCCCCATCCCACTCTCAGCACCCTAGGAGCCCGGCTTAAGTGGTGAAAATGTCCCGCTTACCCGGAGAGGGAGGAGGGACAGCAGGGGCGTCTTCCCGTTTGGAGGCCGTGCACTCCTTCAGCTTCTTCTTGAGCGCCGCGATTTCTCGGCGAACAGCAAGGATGTTGTTTTTGTCTAGTGTCTCGAGCTTCTGCACCAGGACAGTCAGATTCCATATCTAAGGAAATAAAAGTTCAGAGCGATTTTATATTATTGTGCAGTATCTTTCATAAGCATTCCAGGGGTGAATTTGTCATTTAGTGAAACATTGCCAGCGAATACACCAGAGATTCTCCTGAACGGTTTCATTTGGAAGAATACATTTTATGGTTTAGTGTGAACGCCTGTCAGAGCTCAGGCAGATGTGTGCGTGAAAGATTTGAACAGCTTTAATAACAGAGTGCAGGCTCATTCTAAGCATCCACAAATGTCCAGTAAAGTTCGTTTCTAATAGTCTTCCCCTATAAATTCGTGTTTACTGGTGTTGTATTATAATTAAGTTTCTAACGAATGTTGAGGGTCAGAGAAAACTTAAATGTTAAAATATGTAACCAGAATTCTCAATTATAGCCTACGTCATGACTGAGCTATTAAGTTCTCATTGGCATCAATTACACAACCATCACATTAATGTGATAGTCTTTATCCACGGATCTCAAAGGGTTTCACCAAAACATACTCCCAAGAAATCCCTTGAAAGAGGGTTTCAAGTATTTGGAGAATGGTTCAAAGAGGTATCACGGATTAGATGATCTTTCAAAAGGAGAAACAGACCTAGCAAGTCCACAATCAGGTGAATTGTCGGTTTCTAGAAAAAGTCTCTCATTAGGATAAATCCAGAGCAGAGAAGGTCCCTGAATTGTCTTGGCCATGAATGGTTCTTCAGACTAAGTCATCTCCTTTCTAGAGAAGTTAAAAGGCCATTTGGTTCTGAAAGGCCACCTGCTCCTCAGTCCCTGGTGGTGCAAACGGTTAATGCACTCAGCCGCTAACCAAAAACTGGGAGGTTTGAGTCCACCCAGAGGTGCCTCAGAAGAAAGGCCTGGCGGTCTACTTCTGAAACATCAGCCATTGAAAACTCTAAGGAGTGCAGTTCTATTCTGATACACATGGGGTCGCCATGAGTCAGAATCAACTTGACAGCAACTGGTGTGGTATGGTATGGTCCTCAGTCAACATGTTCCCAATGTGTTTAACTTACTATTCAAAGACAGGCGTTCATCCATAGCAGAGCACGGGATATGGCATGTGGTCATGAGGGAATTCAGAATGAGAAGTCAGAAGATGGAGATTAATACCCCTGTCCTAGCACTTGCTCAGTCACAGAAGACAATTAATGATTAATATACTGAGAAGTGAATTCGTCCTTACCTCCACTTCCAGTTGGTCAACAATTTCTGAGCTTCCAACGAAACTCTCCTTCAGCTGGATGATCAGCTTCTCCATCTCCTTCACTTCCATCTTGATAAGCTCAAAGTCCAGTTCAGTGTAAGAAATGGAATCCTTTTCCATGATCTCTATTTGGACAGTTAGGTTCAAGAGCTTCTTTTCATATATGCTGATTAGTTCAGTATACTCCTTTACCTAAAGGGAATCAACACGCTCAAGTCAGTTCCCAGAGTAATCCCAGAGTCTTTCTCCACTACCAGGCCCTTGGGGACTAGTTCATTCTTGTCAATCATCTTTTTGTAAAGAAAAGGATCAAAAAAAAATTCAATTACCCAAACATGAAGTAAAAAGAACATATTACTACCATTTGAGGCGGGGAAGGGGGAAGAGGTGGATTTTGCTTTCCAATCATCATTTGCAAGTATGTTTTAACCTCCATTTTCATGTTGGAAGACATAAGCTCACCGAACTAAACCACCTTGAATCAGAGTCTCGTGCCCTCCCTCCTCCCCCACACACTGTAAATCAAGGTTTCTCACCCTCAGCACTATTGACATTTTGGGCTAGATTGTTCTTTCTTGTTGGCGGCTGTCCTGTGCGTTGTAGGATGGTTAGCAGCACCCGTGGCTTCCCAGTGGTGACAACCAAAACTGTCTCCAGACATTGCTAAAGGTCCCCTGGGGACAAAATCTCACCCCTACCCCCCATTTAGAACCATTGCTCTAAATCTAAGTATTTCCTGGAAGAGAGGGAAATGCACTAAGTAGAATTCCTTCTTTGATCACCACCACATCCGGTGAATTTTCAGCCCCTTCGCCTTTTACAAAGTAGCAATAAAGACCCAACTCACCGCACAATATGTGAGTGTATGTGCAACCATACAGTGCTCATTTCATTAAGTATGCCTACATTTATTCCAGGAACTGATTATTGCAATCAGACCTTTAAATTACACATTTGTTGCATATATTTGAATGTCTGATCATTAAGTTAAAATATTTCCAAAAATTCCCTTGGTAGTTTAGTGTATAATTGGAATCTCCAAATGGATATTTCAATAAACACAGTTGGTGGTGCTCTCTGTATCTGATCTCTAACAGAAATGCTGTGGCTTTTTTTTTAAAGGACCTGCTCATTAAAAGTTGCTGGTTTTACATTCTTTCCAAAAATTTGAACATAAGTGATACTTTTCCCCCAACTGCACTAATGTCAAGTAGCTGATCCACCATGCCAGGATGAATTCACAGCCAGATGTTGGCCTCTAATCCTTCTAATACAAAGGCAGCCCTAACTTCTGTCATTTTAGCCCTTCCACTTAACCCCACCGTGCAAATTAGAGTAGACTCACAGGCCACAGACCTAAAGGGCTAGGGCTTCAGGCAAAGAGGATTTTAATGAAAGTTGAAAATGCAGCCCTTGGCGCTAGTATATCTCCTCAGGCAACTGATGCTCAGTGCCATCAGAGGTACCATCACTCAGAGGCTGAGAAGGCTGGTGACATTTTGGTGGGTAAGTAAGTAAATATATACATACATATATATATAATCTAACAAGCCCTCCTCAAAAGCACAAACATAGATATAAGGTGGCCGGGTTTCAATTGCTACAAAAATCAGGCACAAAATCTTGCCTGTGATAAAAACTAAAGTGCCAAAAGCATTGCAGAAATGAAAGTCTGAGAAATGAAAATGCTTGCTGGCACTGGGCCTCGCCAGCTCTTGGAACAAATGAAACACCCTCCCTTTTCCTGGAACATTTTGATGGCACATCACAGCTGTTGTTCTACAAAAAAATGAGTGATTCAAGCATCATCTCTGCTAAATAAAATGTGGCTCTTCCAGAGTATCATTGAATGCCAAGTCATCAGCTGGAATTTGCCACCTATAAGAATGTGTGGTATGCCTGTCTTATTTCAGCCGAAATGAAGCGTCTCTAAAGAGTCGTTGGAGTCACTGGGTGGTACAAACAAACAGTTAAAGCGCTCAGCTGCTAACCCAAAGGTTGATGGTTTAAGTCCACCCAGGGGTACCTCAGAAGAAAGGCTGGAGATCTGCTTCTGAGAAATCAGCCACTGAAAACCCTATGAAGCATGGTTCTACTTGACAGCAACTGGTTGAAAGGTCTGTTTGGGAAAAAGCTTGAAATTCTTTCCAGCTGACATTTAAAGGAAAGCTCAGTGACATTCAGGAACTCTGGAATCATCCGTGAAGTTGTGGAGGCGAGAGGGAGCTTGAGAATGGGCCAAAAAGACTTCACAGTGTGAACCGTATTGATTTAAGCAGATTATTAGTTTAAATCCATCCCATGTATGGGTCTGTGGCGCTGAGGCAGAGTGGACAATTCTGAGAACGCCCTAGCTCTCTCTGGGTAGTGCGCCCTCAGCAGAGGCAGCCCAGCTTCCCGGGGATGTGGAGGAAGAATATGGGTCTAACCCTGAGGGAACACATCTCTGTATCGACCTATTCATCATGAAGCTCCTTGTGAGTAAAAGTTCCAGTGCTGGAAGATTAGAAGACTCATCTCTGCTTGCTTTCAAACCACCAGCCTAACATTCAGAGCTTCCATTTTAGTTTGTTCATTAGGCACTTACTATGTCATTGATGAATTCTAAGAATCGAAGCTCGTTTGGGGGTTTGTTCTTGTGGTGGTGGTTGTTCCTTTGAATAAATGTGACCTTGAAATAAATAAGAGTGTAGTGTAGCTGGCTATTGAACTAAAGAATTAGTCTGGCTCATGTTTCTGCCAATCCTTCAAATCTGTGATTATAACTACGGCCAGATTACTTGAAATACGTAAATGTACTTCATAACATACTGTCATGTTCAATATATCTTTAAAAATAAATACAGCAAGGTTAAGTGAGCCTGAAGTAATCAACAAAACATATGAAAACGATGGGGAAAGCAATGTGCGTGGTGAAAGGGCACAGTATTTTGGAGCTAGACTAACTGGGCTCACATCTGCATTTAGTGCTTAGTGGGCAAGTCACTGAATTTCTCTAAGTCTTAGTCTCCCTCTGTAAACTGGGGGTGATGCTATCAAGCTTGTGAGATTATTGTGAAGACTAGAGATAGTGTACATTAGGTGCCTATCATAATTGTTGCTGTTAGTTGCCATTGAGTCAATTCAGAATCATGGAGACCCCGTGTGTGCAGAGTAGAACAGCTCCACAGGGTTTTCAGGACTATGATCTTTCAGAAGCAGATCACCAGGCCTGTCCTCCAAGGAGCGTCTGGGTGGGTTTGAACCACCAACTTTTCAGCTAGTGAGTGCTTAACCATTTGCACCACCCAAGACTCCTGCCTAACATAATAGATACCCCATAAACTACAACAATGATGAACAGTGATTTCAATGATTTTCAATCTGACTTTAGTTTATTACATTTCACTGCACAAAACAGTTGCTCAATCAATGTTGTGCGTTTCCATTGCCTAAATGTCTCCCAGGCTGCCTCACCCTTCTCATGCATGAGGACCTATTAGCAAATGTGTCATATTAAATAACCTGCCCCAAAGACCATACGTCTCCAGGGAAAGAGAAAACCCTGGCTTTTGTGCAGTCCCCTTTCTAAGTATAGTCATGAGAGGACAGATCATAAACAATAGAAAAGTATAAAATGCTTTCAGCATCTTATGCAGAGGCAGCTCCCTGTCTTCTCTGTGTACTGACAGGTAATGAATCAACATAAAGCACTCAGAAACCTTTCCTACTGGCCTACCCAAAACCAGCATTCCCCAGGGCATCGAGATAAATGGTGATTTCCAAGGCAACCTGGGGACAGCTATAATAATTCACCTGGAAATCCAAAAGCCCTCCACTGAAGAGATAACTTTGGCTTTGAAGGCATCACTGACCTACTGCATCTCTTCTTGGGGCTGCTCTGGATGATAACAGCATGGCCAAGAGAAACAAGAACTGGGATGATTCCAAAGACACGAATGTGCGTCTGCCTTAACCAGCCAGGAGACGTATGACCTTGGGCAAGTCTGTTTACCTTTGTGAACCTCAGTTTTCCCATGTCTAACATGGGAGGGACAACACCTGGCCTATCTTGCCTTCTTGGGTTGCTTGAAAATAGAATAGAATCGGAAGCCTTTGGAAAAGCACACACGGAAGCTATGACAATGATGATTGCTATTATAACCAGTCACACCAAATCTATTCTGAAATCTAAGCTGGCAGGCCAATTTCTTTCTCAGGCCTGAACCGCAAGTTGTTCCAGAAGCAGCTACTGACACCTTGAACTAAAACGTTTTCCCCCTCCTTTACGCTTCTTCCCTGCCAATTATTAGCAAGGCAGATGCCACCTGGCTCCCTTACAGGATTGGAATTAAATGTCCCATAGTCACAAACCTGCCAAGCTATATAAGAGTCCTGGTGGCACAGTGATTAAGTGCTTGGCTGCTAACCGAAAGGTTGGTGGTTTGAACCCACCAGCCACTCCAAGGGAGAAAGATGTGGCAGCCCACTCCTGTAAAGATTTACGTCCTTGGAAACCCTATGGGATAGTTCTACCCTGTCCTGTAGGGTCACTATGAGTCGGAATCGACCCAATGGCAGTGAGTTATGCCAAGTTACATGCTCCCCCTGGAGCAGCATGGGGTTTCAAACAGCTCTTCAAACTCCTGCCAGCAAAGAATGCAGGCAAACCAGGAGCTTCCGCGATTTCAAAGCAAATGACTCTAACTGAAAAGATCTTTACCTAGAATTTTCCTCCACTTGTTATGTTTTTATGCATAACTTCTCATCTGTACTTGATTATGCTAGAATAAGGCTATGAATATTAATGGTTGGAATTTATAATTTAGTGCTGCGCCTTTTCTGCTGATTAATTCAAGGGCATTTTACTTCGTAAGAAGCTTGGTTCCTGGAGTAGTCAAACACACTTTCCTGGACACTCACCTAAACTTAGAATATTTATCTACCAATTTAGGTTGAAAGCAGGGTCTCAGCCTCACAATAATTTTTGTCTTAAAGGATAACTGTGTTGGACATTGAGGTGGCTCAGCTTAAATTTCTCAGGAACAACTTATTTTGAATCTTGCAGTAAAGCCAGAGCTCCTTGCAAATTAATGGAGTTGTATTAAATAATGCATAATGTGATTATAGCCTTGCTTGGACTTCACCTGTGCACAAAATGGGAGCTTTTCTAATTGATTTTTACTTGGCTGAGAAGGTCAAAGGGGTCAAAACTGGAATACCAAGTCACATTGCACCAGCCAGCTCAGAGAAAGTTAAGCCGTCTAGGTTAACTTCAGCTGGCTGGAGACAAGCAGGTAATCAGAGCGTTGAGTCGTGGTTTTTACCAAAGCCGAGTGGCCAATAAGTCAAATTCAAATTCCTAGGGTAGCGTTCAATTTTGGTCTAATGCTAGACATGACTATACAGTGCTCTTGCAGAGACAATAGAAGGTAACCACCAAGAAAGAGAGAGCGGGCTAGAAGGAAGGAGGCAACTTGGAAAGAGAATACGAGAGGAAGAAATGGAAAAGAGGGAAGGAGGGAAGGAAGAAAAGAAGGAGAATATTTGGGGGAGTGGAGGGGGAGAAGCAGCCATGCAAAAGTAAGATAAAATGGAAAAGTCAGGGGGAAAAAAAAAATTAAAGGAAGGGAAAGAAAGACCGGGAGGGATGGACAAGAAAAGGATTGAGGCAAGGAGAGAAATAAGAAATAAAAGGCGGACTGGGAATGGGAAGAAAAGGTAAAAGAGAAGGAAGGTGAAATTGGACACAGAGAGGGTAGGGGAGAGGAAATAAATGAAAGCAAAGCTGGAGGAAAAACCAACAAACAGGCAAAAAGAAACAACAACACACATACAAGCAATCGCAGGGTTGAGGTTTGCAGGGAGAATTTGAGGCTCTTTTTAAATGGCATGAGCACCGTGATAGTGAAGTGAGTTTATCCACAGCGTGAATAATCTCGATCCCATTTTCTCCCTGTGTTCTCATTTTCCCTGCCATCAAGAACTCGATACAGGTACTGTAAAGTAAATGCGAAGGCTGCCACAGGATACAAACGTGCTGCCTTTGGTGCGAGTGAAGAGTGGCTGCTTATAAAGTCCCGGGGCGAAAAGGTGCTTTGTTTGGTTTGTTCGTTTTTATCAAGATAATGTTTGAAGAGGAAAAAAAGAAAATGCTTACTTTAGAAAGCTCTGTCTGGAACTTCTCAGTGAGAGAGCGAGCTGTGAATTCCAACTGCTCCATTTTCTCCACGGGAAAGGTGGTATCTGGCAGGAGAACGGAGCACTGGCAGGTCCCGTGGTCATCTATGGAGCCGGTGAAATTGGAAAACGGCTGCAAATGAAAATAAGTTCAGCATCAATGATAAGCTGGAGAATGAGCTTTTTGGCAACTGGAGTGACAGAAATTGCTTATCGAGAGAGTGCTTGTCGTTGTGGTTGTAAGCCGCCGTCGAGCAGGCCCCCACTCATGGCAACTCCAGGCACAACAGACCAAAACACTGCGTGGTCCCGTGCCGTGCCCATGATCAGCTACAGATGAGACCTTTGTGATCTATTGAACTTTCACTGGCTCATGTTTGGAAGTAGATTGCCAGGCCCTCCCTCCTAGTCTGTCTTGGTCTGAAAGCTCTGCTGAAACCTGTTCAGCATCATAGCAACACACACACAACCATTGGTGGTGCCTGGGCATAAGGGGCATTGTCTGGGAATCGAACCCTACTCTCCCGCATGGAAGGCGAAAATTCTTCCACCAAACCACCACTGCCTCCAAGAGAGTGCTTGGAGGCAAGCAAGTGGAGCTCAGTACATAAATGAAAACGCAAAATGCTTTTCACATGCTTTCACAGGTGGTAACCACACATAGTATTTAGCCACATCTCCACCTGTTGGACCACACAACTATGTCAGCAGCCTTTACTTAAAGGAAAATCCTTCATTCTTGAGGAATCTTAAAAGAAATTATACTATTTCTCTGTATGGTGGCATAAACAGTTATGCATCGACTGCTAATCAGAAGGCTGGCAGTTCAAACCTACCCAGTGGCTCCACAGGAGAAAGACCTGGCAATCTGCTTCCGGAAAGATTACAGGCTAGAAAACCCTACAGGGCAGTTCTACTCTGTCACATGGGGTTGCTATGAGTCAGAACCAACTTGATGGCACTTAATAATAACAACAACATGGAAGGAAAGAATAATAAAGAAGCCCCTCATTTACCCCAAGACCAGAAGAACTAGATGGTGCCCAGTTACCACTACCCACTGTTCTGATCAGGGTCACAATAAACGGACCCTAATATATCAGGAGAAAAATGAGGACCAGAACTCAAATTCTTAAGACGTACAGACTTACTGGACCAGTTGAGACTAGAGGACTCCCTGAGATTATCGCCCTAAGATACTCTTTAAACCCTGAACCGAAACTATCCCCTGAGGTCACCTTTTAGTGAAATAAAAGATTGGCACACAAAATAAAGGATGTTACCCATGAGTACGATGCTCCATTTAAAAAACCATCTATATGAGACCAAAAGGTCAACAATTACTCTAAAGCAAAGATGAGAAGAAAAGAGGGCAAGGAAACTAGAGTACTGGAAATGGAACAACCAGAATGCAATTAAAGAGAATGTTGACACATTGTGAAAAATATAACTAATGTCACTAAATAATTTGTGTAGAAATTGTTAAATGGGAACCGAACTTGCTGTGTAAACTTTCACCAAAATAAACAATAAAATATAAAAAAATAGAAAAGAAAAGAAAGAAGCAATTAGAGTTCTAGGTTTGAATTTCAACTCAACCACTCACTAGACATGAACCTCCTTAGGTCTCAGTTTTTTTTGCCTATAAAATAAAGAAAACCTACTTCACAGCTCGTCCTGAGGATTAAATGAGTAATGTGAGCCAAGTCCGTGGCACATGGTAGGTGCTCAGTAAATATTATTTTCCCTTTCCTTCTACTTACTCATTTTCCTCACCTTTAGCCCAACCCCATCCCAATTTCTCTCAACAGAAAAAAGGAAAACATCAAGGGTGTGAGTAACAAGGAAAATATACAATGCAAATTGCTATCCAGTCTTCACCTGGGAAATTATATAATTAATATCCTACACCATGAAAAGGGTAGAAACAAACCAGCCATTCGTCAGAAACTGAACAATGTATGAGTTTGAAGGTTTTTGTGCAAATTTTTTTTAAGTAAAAATTTTCCAGTTTACCACTGGCAGAAAAGCCATTTCAAAATATTTGATGTTCTTTTAAGATATTCAGGCTCACATTTTGGTGCCGCTGCATATTTTAAAATGACAGGTTGGAAAGATCCTGTTTTTCTTTGTCCACTTTGAACTTCCCCAAGGGGATCCCGGTACAATTAACTTTTTTTTTTTTTTTTTTTTTACTACTATTGTTTATAGAGTAACTCTTGGCAGCCAACTGGCTGTACCTTTCAATGATCTCATCTGATAGCCAGCCCATACCTCACCCTGTGGGACTTCAGCCTGACGGGTGTCTTTGTGAGGCTACCAAGGGGACAGCAATGGTTTACAGAATTTGAAGAGACTCAGACCACACCTTTCAAAGTTCAGGAGGCCAGCTGGCTGCAGCTGAAGTTGTATGCTCTATGATACCAACCTCCATGACTCCTGAACAAGCTGGAACTAGATGCTTCCATACAGCTGTCACTGAGTCAATTCCAACTCATGCAACCCCATGTGTGTCACAGTAGAACTGTGCTCCATAGGGTTTTCAATGGCTGTGATCTTTTAGAAGTAGATCTCCAGGACTTTCTTTTGAGGCACCTCTGGATAGGTTCGAACTACCAACCTTTCAGTTAGTAACTTAGCCCTTAACCATTTGCTCCACCCAGGAATTCCTAGAAGCTTTTGTAGTCAAGACTTATTCTATCAGTGACCTCTGAGCCAATTCAAGCTTTTGGCAATTAGGCTGCTTTTTAATTTAACCTAAACTTCAAGATGAGCAGAAAGAAAAAAATATGTTTGTACCCAAAACACTCTATTCCAGGTAAATTCTTGACATTGGCCTCAATTTTCCTTTCCAATCACACCCCACACTCGCAGTAATTGGAAGTAAGGAAAGATACAAATAGATTTATGCTGAACCCAGAGAGGGGAATGGGGAAGGGTCTTGGCCAGAGATAAGGACTGGAGAAGATATGTGAGAGTCTGTCAGAGAGGTCGGCTTCCCTTGGAACCAGCTGTATCACTCCCTCTGAAGACAGAAAGACTCCAGCTCAAGCATACCAACGCTTTTACAGGAGGGGCCAACATGTCATGGACTTTCGAAGAAACAGCTTATTATAATAACTGCCTGGCAAAAAAATAAATAAATAAAAGTTTTCATTGCATTTTGACAAGCGGAGGTTAATTAGCTGCACAAGACAGAGCTGGGCCATTCTTAGTGAGAGTTCTCTGAAAAGCTCTGTCAACTCAAAAAAACAGTGGTATCATCAAGCAGTCTCTAGACAATCAACTAGGAACCACTAGCTAACAACTTTTCGTCCTGAAATTCACCTGAAAGGCAGGCAAATAATTATGAGCCCTGCTGACAGCCATTCCACCAGCTTCTATTGAACATCTCTGTTCCAACGCCGTGGACTCCCAGGCTTCCATCCTGCTTATCATCCGCCTAGTGTGCTCAGCTGACATCAAAATGGTCCATAAGTTTGATCAGTGTCTCCAATTAGAGATATTTCTGCTCCTCACATTCAAAGACAATGAAGCTGATGGTGATGGGTCGCGCTCTGCGGTGAATGCTTAAACTCTGCGTGAGCATAACGCCAGCAATGGGAGACAAAAACAAGTGCCTGTCCCCTTGGCCCACAGAAGGATATGTGATCCGCCCTTGTTGAGGGCAAACCGTGTCCTCAAAAAAACACTCTACACTGGCAGGTTCACACGCACTCGGCGTGCATTCAATTAACATTTACTGACGTCTACAGCATGGCAGGCTCTCGCATTTGGCAGACGAACAAGAGCCGGTTACCAGGTGAATCAGACCCATAGTCATTATGAAAGCCCTAATATGTTTTCCCAAAGGCCCCTTAGCCTGATGACAAAAGCGTACGACTCACAGTCTGTCTTGCGGTTACAACTATGCCAGTTGCTGTGCAGGGCGAGGCATTTAGCCTTCTCTCTGTCCCAAAATGAGGACGCCGATAGCGGCCTCCTCTTTGGAGGGTGACATCTGAAGCATGGAGAGTGCTCTGAGTGCCACAGCAGAAAGTGCGACTCACATTTGTGATTTAAGGTTGCAATTGGCTCTAATTAGCAGCCAAGCCTAAGTGTCTGCAAAGATTCAAGGCATAAAATAATGGTACTCAACATTTTCAAAGTACAGAAAATGATACGTTTGGAACTTGCTCAATGACAGTTATAAAAGGGTTTCCACCACTTTCTAAAGGGCTCATCAAGCTGACAGCCAGCCCCAGAAAATTGGGTTTATAGTAGAAGTGACACCTAGTCTGCTATAAAAAAGAAGTTGGAATTGTGATACTGGCTCACCAAAGAAGATAAGCAAACTAGGAAGGAAATTAAAACCTCTAAGCACAATTTAACTACCACTTCTTAGCTTCTTTTAAATGCTTTTCTCCTTACCAGCCAATAGGCACTTTTGATTTCTCTGTTTCTTGACCTATATTTTATTTTGTGTTATTTTAGCCGATGGCCTTACCCAAGTGCTGGTTTCTGACTGGTGATGAAGGTTAAGTTTCTTTATAATTATTATTGCTAATCTGCACTTTAAAAAAAAAAAAAAGTTAACCAATTCTAGTCATTCCCAGAAATCACTTACTATCATTGAAAATAATGTATCTGATTTCTGGCTACAAAGAATTCTTGTGCGTATTTACGATTCTCAAACCTTTCTCCTTTTAAAAACAAGCAATTTTTCATCTCTACTCCTTAGAAATACAGAAAGCTGCACATAGAGAGATGGTGAAGGGCATGGACTAAGTTTGAGCTCCACTACTTGCCAGCTTAGTAACTTTAGGCCAATGACTTAACCTCTCTAAGCATCAGTTTGCACATCGCTAAAATGGGACTGTCCATTTTACCTAAGCTCTCAGGGTTAAATAAGATAATATCTACTTAACATTGTCCTAACATTTATTAGGCACTCAATGAGCACTGTTGCTGTGGTTTCTATCTGGGACCTCACCAAACCATGTTTTAATCAACACCAAATCTTCACTGTGGCTGTATCCCGGTAAAACCAACCAAACCCGTTGCCGTCGAGTCGATTCCGACTCATAGCAACCCTATAGGACAGAGTAGAACTGTCCCATACGGTTTCCAAGGAGCACCAGGTGGATTCAAACTGCCAATCTTTTGGTTAGCAGCCGTAGCTCTTACCCACTACGCCACCAGGGTTTCCATATCCTGGTAGTGAAAATAAAAAAAAAAAAGAAATAAGCAAAAGCCTTTTTAACCCTCTTCCCCTATCCGCCCTCACATTCAAACATTGTCATGTAAGCAGCTACCTGACCTGTGAGTGAAGGCCACAGAGGAGTAGAGGGCTGAGATTTGGAGGAGCTGAGACTCCCCACTCCAAGTTACCCCTGAGCAAGGGAAGGCTACGGGCTCCTGCAGAAAGACCCAGAGCTGATGTGCACAAATGTGAAGTGAGTAACTGCTTCTTGTCCCCTAACCTATCACCCCCTCCATGCATATTCCCATTTCCTTAAAGGAGACCCAAAGAGAGACTGATCCCCCAGGAACAGGGTTCTCACTAAGCCTTCTAGTTATGTAGCCTAGCTGGACCAGTTCCTTTATAAAGGATGTTTTTTTATTTTGTTTGTTTGTTTGTTGTTTTGAACTGAAAATGACCCTAAAGGTTCCCTTATGGAAAAATAGAAGAGTTCACACTTCAGGACAACGTCTACTTTCCTGTTGATATTATCGTGTGCCCTGGAGTTGATTCTGACTCATAGTGACCCTGTAGGACAGAGCAGAACTGCCCCCATATGGTTTCCTAAGCTGTGAGCGCCACCATGTGACAGAGTAGAACTACCCCATAGGGTTTCCTAGGCTGTAATCTTTACAGAAGCATGTGACCAGGTCTTTTCCCACCCAGGGAGCAAACTGCCAACCTTTAGGTTAGCAGCCTAGCTGCTTGACCACTGCGATACCAGGACGAATAACTCCTCCCACCACTGTTGTCACAGATCTCTGCTTACGAACAGAGAAACTGTGAGGACTCCAACTTCCTGACATGGGCTCTCACTCCCTAGAGGGCTGTGCTTACTGACTCAGGGTCCCAGCTGGGTGGCGAGTCCATTAATCCCACAACTTTTCTGGAGCACCTCCTGGAAGGCCTCCTTCCCTAACAGTTCTCATCCTGGACTACATGTGAGAATCACTTGGGGAAAGCTTTCAAAAAAAAATACCTGTTTTCTTTGTTGTTGTTGTTGTTGTTTTTTTAATCTGTGGAAGATGGAGGCTGGGATATCACAAGTCCCTCACACTATGCCTAGCCAAGGTTAAGAACCTCTTTAACAGGTAGATTCTTCCCTGAAAGCCCCCAGCTGGAGAACCAAGATGTCGTCTCTCTTCCTAACAATTTAATTATTTCACCCAGGTTTTAATTCATTTTCAGGGCACCTACAGTTAATTAACAAAAGGAGTCATATATCTTTTAGAATGCCCACATCTATCCATCCATGAAATTATATTCATAGTCCCAAAAAGCGGGAGGAAGGGAATGAAGGCAGCTGGTTCAGTTTCCACGGCCTCACCTGGTACCTGGAGTCAGGACCACCGCCAGGCTGGAGGATGCCAGAGCTGGAGCTGGAGTCACCTGCTGAACTGGAGCCAGGGCTGGGGGTTATGGACCTGTAAAACTCCATATCCCCTGCAGCTGGGCCGACGAGGAATAGGAGGCCCAGCAAGGAGAGGACGTATGGCCTCATCTTGTCCCTTTGGTTGGAGCTACTGGCTTCTGCACAGAGCCCAGGGCCTTCTTATAATCCCCAGTGGGGATTTCTCCATGACCAGTCTACAGGAAAGAGGAAGTGGCTAGGGGGCACTTGGGCACCGCAGAAGGCTCAGAACACCCAGGAACTTGAGTCACGTCCACACATGGTCACTGGCCCCACTCTGTGAGCTGCCCTTACATACAGGTATCTCCTGCCAAATATTAACTCAAGAGAGCCCACCTACATTTTCAAGGCCCAATATCTGGTTTCCAACATGGTACTTCCTTGAAGGAGACCAAATCAAAGTAGTCTTTGTGGCCAAGAGAGAGCTGAGGCCCCAGAAGGAAAGCCAACCATCAGTCCTTTGCCTGGATGCCACTTGCAGTTATTCTCACCCATTTTACTGAATGCAGCTTTCCAGAGAAAGTATTGGGAACTCGCTTTGAGGGGTGAGGGGCTATCTGAATCTACCCTCTTCAGCTCCTATTGCCTGGGTGTCTCTGATCACTCCCTTGCAGTATCTGCTTCTAGCAAAGTTCTCTCAACAATCCCACTCTGAGGGAGAGACTGGCACCATTTTACTCCCCATGAAAATCCAGATAGAACTCTACACTACCACTGTCTGCTTGACCTAGCAGAAAGAATCCAAACAAATAAGTGATTCCCAGATGAGCCAGAGCCCACTTCCCAGAGCCAGGAAGTGGCTCCAGATCCAGTTAAGAAGGTTCCCACACTGAGCAGTTTCTCTGCCTGACCTCGGTGCCCCAGAGCCTTTTGTGAGCTGGCCAGGCCTTCAAGAGCTCAAGGCTTACTCTTCCTGACACTGAGAACTAGGGGTGCTGTTCTCCTGGCCCTGGGCTTCAGGTTCCATTTGCACCTCTCCAACATTTCACGCACCTTTGTAACACATGTAGAGTGAAAAAAGTGTTGGTCTGAAAATTAAAAACCAGCTCTGTCAATCATTAGCTGGTGGCCTTGGGCAAGTCACTTAGCCCCTCTACCCCTGCCCCACCCCAAGACGCCTTCTCTCGGGGCTACTTTGAAGACCTCGTTTGAAAGGTTCTTTCACAGCTTTATCTCAGGGGCTCCACAAACTCTCAGAATAACCACTGTTCAAAACAGAGTGAGAAACAGAGTCCGAAACCCGGGGGTACACAATTTGATACTCATGTGTTTAAGAAAAGACAGAGAAGAGGCAGACAGAAAATATACCAATGGATTAACAGAGAGTGAGAGTTGGAGGCTAGATGTGGGGAGGAAGGACAGGTCTCTTTTCAGTGTACTCAAGGCACACTGGGGCTGCATCCCTGGTCCAGTGTCCCATACTGCTCCTGACTCGGCAGGGTGAGTGGACACCCCACCTAGACCAGCCTCCCCACCTAGACCAGCCTCCCCAGCTTTAGGCTCCACACTATCCCAGCCATCCAGGCTGTCTTTGCTACCTGCACTCATCTCCCACATTGAAACACACCTCTCCAGACAATCAAGCCTTCAAGCCACTCGCAGCACCTTCTCAGACCAATATAACACCCGTATTCATACGTATGGAAACCCCGGTGGTGTAGTGGTTAAGTGCTACAGCTGCTAACCAAAAGGTCAGCAGTTTCAATCCACCAGGCGCCCCTTGGAAACCCTATGGGGCAGTTCTACTCTTTCCTGTAGGGTTGCTATGAGTCGGAATCGACTGAACGGCAACAAGTTTGGTTTTTCGGTTTTTATTCACATGTATGTGGTGCTTAGAGCCAGTTAGAGGAGGCCCAGAAAGCACAGGAACATCCCCACAGAAGCTTTCTGGAGACAAGAGAGTCCACCTACATTATGTGCTCCAAAGGCGGTCTGTATGTGGTGAAAATTGAGGTCAGGGATGGGTGGCCCATTGCCAGCTGTTAGGAGGTTGGAGGGAGTGTATTTTGAAGCCCCATCCCTCAAATTCTGCCCTATGTAGGACTGTCAGATTTAGCAAATAAAAATATAGGATGCCCACTTCGATTTGAATTTCAGATAAACAGCAATTTTTTTTTACTATAAGTATGCCCCAAATATTGCATGAGATATGCTAAAAAAATTATTTGTTTTCTGAAATTCTAATTGAACTGGGTGTCCTGTATATTATTACCTGGCAACCTTACTGTTGAAGGCTGCTGCTCCACCTGGGTAGAGACTTTTGGGGCAGGATGTGGACCATGGAACCCAAGTCAAGTTCACTGTCTCCTATGGGAAGCAACTCAGCCTTGGCCTCCTTGGCCCCATGTTCTAACCACTTACCAACCCAGTCCAAAACAGGGAAAATGCAGGGCATGATTTGCCTTTTCTAGCCCAAGAAGATACTAATCCTAAGTCTTCACTGTCTACTACCGTTGTGTGAGAATGAGAATTGGGTATACTGAATCCCCATTATTCTGAGCTTCAATGCTATGAATATCAATGCGGAGAGAAGAGCTTTTCTCTACCTCTCATCACAATTCCCCTCTTCCTCCTGATGCCCTCCAAAGCAAAAGCCAAAATCTCTTCTCATTTGCTGGTAGCCTCTGCCTGTGGTTATAATGAACCTTCCTTGTCCTTTTATTCAAGGAGCTTGTTGGTTCCCTTGTCAGAATGAAAAATCTCATTAACAATGGTAGCCCGTAGTCATGACGACCTTCAGGGGCATCTATGGTCCATCATTTAGAGGACCCCTTACCAGAGGGGTTACATTCCTGCAGGAACGGGGCAAGAGTTCTCCCAAACACAAATGTGCCTTAGCCAGGAAAAAGCCTCCACCCCATTGTGCTTGTGGGCTGCTTTGTTCGTGTATGCCTCTCCATCATTTCCAGAATAAAACTTTAATCTATTTGGTAGCCTCAAATGCACAAAAGCATTGGTGATGCCTCAGTAATGAGATTATTAATAATAATCTGCAAATACTTCTGCCTAAGAAACAACAGCCCTCCAGGTCATTTGACAGCCTCAGAGGCAGCAGAAAATTATCAATGCTGCAAAGGAAACAGTGTATTATTTATAAAAATTTGTTCAGACGTTGGGCTCCCCCCACAGTAAGGGGTCACTGAAATTCACTTAAGTAATTCAGCATTCCTCACTGACAGCTTGAAGGAAAGTTACTGTTTATGTACTTCATTATGGGAACTCCCTAAAGCTGTGCTTCTTGAACAGTTGCAACACACAGGGTAGATATCCATATAGATACGGCCTTAATTTAATCCTCCCCATCATTAAAAATCAAGGCCAAACATACTGTGGCGCCTTGAGAAGAGAATGTCTGTAGAGTATCTGGTGAATACAGGAACAATAAAGGCTGTGTTTAGTCTATGGACCAACAATAGAGGCTGTGTTGCATGACCCTTTTCATGTCACTTAACTGTCCCCAATAACCCTCCAATCTCTATTAGCAATATCAGTAACCACGTGTAAAAATAATGATCAAATGACACCATTCATTCACCCCAGAAAGTGATCCCTCATATAACAAAGTATATTAGGCCCTACTCTGTGCAAAGTACTGTATCAGGTCCAATGAAGAGTTATAAAGAAAGAAGAAAGCATAATTTTTGCTATTGAAAATGTCTAATTACTTCAGTGAGACAGGCCACTTCAGGGAATATACTAGGAATAAAAACAACAAATTGAACACAAACCAATTACACGAATACTGAGGAAGGACTGGATTGACTATAGTGACCCAGCCTGAGTTGGTTAATGTGGGAAGACTTTGTCAGGTGGTCAACTTCCTTAGGATGGAGACAATGATCTCGTCAGCTTCGAATTTCCAGTGCTGAGCCCAGGGCTTGGCACTTGGTGTCCAATAGATGTCTGCAGACTAAAGGAATGTACTTAATAAATGTGTGAATGAATGGATAAATTGATTCAAAAAGAATTGTGAAGGGAACTCAAATTATTATTGGAGAAAATATGAAATTTTTAAATTAACATTGTAGAAAAGGGAGGGAGTCAAAAAACACAGGCAACTCAAATTCTCTCCGGGGCCATGAATACACCCATACCCCTGCAAACTCATGCAACCAACCTCTGCAGCTCTTCTTAGATCAGAGTCCCTCAAGTTGTTTCTCAGCCAGATCCAAGCTCCCAAATCAACATTCTAATTCCCTAAACATATCCTTTATCAGGAATAACCTAGATCTAGCTACCCTATCGTGGTTTAGAAGATTCAGATTTTAGAATTATGGTATTTTCAACCAAGTATTTATGTTTTCAGTCTGCAGCATTGTTGACAGAACACAGAACTGAGTTAGTAAAAAGCACAACCAGTGGAAACCACTGCAAAGTTCTGTGCAAATGCTGAAAAGCGACAACAAAAAATATTGAAAGGTTGTCGTTGTTAGGTGTTGGTGAGTTGATTCTGACTCATAGTGACCCTACAGGACAGAGTAGAACTGCTCCATAGGGTTTTCTAGGCTATAATCTTTACGGGAGCAGATCTCTAGGTCTTTTCTCCCGTGGAGCCACTGGTAAATGAGCCACAACAGTGCTCAGAAGTATATCCCTCAGAAATGTCAGTGTAGAGTCAGGAAACACCCCACCAGCACCACGAGGGATGGACGGACTCAGAAGAGACCAAACCTCACGCTTATCTCTAGAGTTCACCAGATGGATTCTCTGCACAGAGACCTAGGACCAGGTACTGCCCCCTATATTCCTCTTGCTGTCTCCCCACCACTGCATTAAGGCATGCCCCTTTTCACCCCTACACCAACACCTAGGTTTTCCACACCCTTGTATGTTGTAAATTGCCCAGTCATCCCTGAAAGGCCAGGTGAGTTGGTTGTTCCAACCAGAGATGAAAGTTCCCCGTTCTTGCTTATCGGCTCAATTGCTCAAGTCTCTGCTTGCCTCACATCCAAACCACCTGAGTTAAAATACTAGGGTTCTCAGCTAGAACTGTTTTCTCAACAGTTAGCCGTACTTATCTAGCCCCATACACCTCTCACTTTGAGAAAAAGGCAAACTCCACATCTACGAAAAGTCATCACCTAGAAATA